TTTGTTTAAAAGCATTATTCACAAGCGTCGATTAACCTTAACTTCTCTTTGGCTGAACCTGCCCTCGCTGAATCAAAGGTTTGATTCGAAATGTCTCGCAGTTTAACAAATATGATAGGTACAGGAGAAATGCCGATTGGTCGGTATAATGCGATGACAACAACCAAAATACAGACAATGGTCCATATAAATCAATATAATAATAATAAGAAGAAGAAGAAGAAGAAGAAAAAAGAAGAAGAAGAAGAAGAAGAATAGACATTGCTATTAAAAACCACAAACAAAAAGTGTCTCCTTATTGATATGGCATTCAATGCAGGCTGCAATGTATCTTTGAATATATTCAAAAAACATTCAAATTGCAAGGACCTTGAAATCAAAATCTCAAACATGTGGCACATGGGAACATCAACAATCCCTGTTGTAGTTGGAGCCCTAGGATTAGTTGGAAAAGATTCCAGTAGACTAATTGAAGGGATTCCTGGAAGTTCATGCCTCAAAGAGATACAAAAAATTGTTCTGACAAGTACAGCCCACATTTTACGAAGGGCTTTATCTATGTATTTTTTTTTCTCAGTGGAAAGTGTCATGATGCCATTTCTAACCTTAGGTCTCTGGGCGGGACCCGGAAAGAAATGTGTACACACCAGAAATCAAAGGAAATAATAATAATAATAATAATAATAATAATAATAATAATAATAATAAAGATAAAAAGAAGAAGCTCCATGGTCATTATCTTCAGCAGACAAAAAAATTCTGAGAAGTGGCTTTTGGTGAGATATGATTTTCTAAAGAAGCTGCAAGCTCGTTTCCATTTTCAGTACAGGTGAAGACCATGAGAATGAAAAGTAATCAAGGTGAACATAATCAAAATAGAAACGGAATAATTCGTAATCTCAAAAATCCAGACAAATCGTCGTTCCGTTTCGTCGTATTAAAAATATTTTATGGAGGAACGAATATTTGTCTCTTAATTTCAGTGATGAGAAAATAATATTATTTAAATTCGGAATGTATTGCAGGATATGACCTGGTGTATTCTGGCGCAAGTTCTTCAGAATTGGTTGGATGGAATTCGTGAGATTTTGGATGAATTGGGCCACTGCGTTCACCCGGCATGAGCCCAATCGAGCTTTTATATAGCATAATGCATGGGCATATATTCACACAACATACTCGATCACTCTCGTCACCCCTCTCTCTCTCTCTCTCTCTCTCTCTCTCTCTCTCTCTCACCTACACACATCATACTTACTCACTCCCTAAGAACCAAATAACACACACACAATTAACAAAGTCATATCCCTATTCCAGGAACCAATAAAACTGTCAAAATGACCAAGGGAAGTAGCATAAATCCATCCAACTCTTATCTTAAATAACAACTTAAAAGAGACTGTTTGAACATCAAAAGGACTGACCAAAATTCATGTTTAAAAAAAAATGAAAACTACAGACAAAAAAGTTCATTTTCTGTCTTCAAGACATTCATTTCTGTAGTTCACTGCTACCAGCAAGCAGAATTTTGTTATCCTAATGATGGCCATGTTGGCCGAAAGTAGTCGAGGAATCTAAATGAAATAATAATAAAAACGAAAGAATATTGATATACAACCCATTGTGTCTGAAGATTTTAATTTTTTTAATATTTTTTATGGTTCAATATATATATATATATAAATATACGCTGTGCTCTCCCGTCGTTTTCGACGTATGAGAATCAAGTAACTCAGTTGCTAGAAGCCGAAAGCCAGACTACCCGCACATATCATTTGTTTATAGTAGTGAAGGCTTGTGCACACCATTTGGAAGAGTCGATTACAGAAACGGGTGCACAGTTCGCCACAAGGGACCCAAGCGCCTCTACGCAGTATTGAATTCAGAGTTTTTCTTCTTCTAGAACGGTTGCCGCCCAAGACATAACCCTGTCTGAACTGCGATTTCGCCATAGTTGGGTGTGGGAAGATAGATTTGTAACTTTCCCAAGGTTATCAGGATGTAAACTATAATGCAATGAATTCGACTGAAATTTCAGCATGGCTCTCCGATTTCTTAATATATATGCAGGGTAACAGCAAAATTTTCCAAATGTGTAAAAGGAAAATTTGTTAGATTAATGTTGGGACCGTTGTATCTTAGAATTCGCTTTCGATTTCATCTCACCAACAATTTTGTCTGAGAAACATGATAAACACAATTTTTGTTTTAGGAAAAACCAAAAACTTATGACGAAATATCGAAAGTACTCGGAGTAAAATAACTATGCATCAACATGATAATTTTCTTTCTTCCTTTAATAAGGATACTAAGAAACATGTCCGTAATTACGAGTGGATCCTATTTAAAATAAGTAGACAAAACTTGTCTAACTTATTTAATGAGACATGTCTTGATAAATATATATATATATATATATATATATATATATATATATATATATATATATGTGTGTGTGTATGTATGTGTGTGTGTGTTTGTGTGTGTGAAAATGTGTGCCTGTGAACTTGTGTGTGTTAAACATATATTTATATATATATATATTTATATATATATAATTTGGAAAACAAACAAAAAGTTAAAATGAATTTCGACGTCTGACGTTTTTGTTTTAAACCTTTTTCAAGACAATATTCATTTAAAGTTCAATTTATAAAAACAAGTCTTATCCAAAACAGCGTGACAACGTGACCATGCTAAACGGAAAGCTGATCATTTTAAAATTTTCAGTTATCTGTTTTGGATAAGTTTTGTTTTTTATGTCCATCGTCTTTGTCAAATTGAACTGAAATGTATTTTAATGAATATTGTCTTGAAAAAGGTTTATTAAACCGAAACGTCAGACGTCGACATTTCATTCATTTTAAACAACATAATTGCATTTAAGGATTTTTGTTTGTTTTTTCCAAATTTTCTTCATTCTGTCGGATCTATATCCATTTACATTTGCTTACATACATATATATATATATATATATATATATATATATATATATATATATATATATATATATATATATATTCAGGTTGTGTCGCACATTGAGTGCTGGTGTTAATAAAATAGTACTGATGTAACGTATAAAAACGTATATTTATTAAAATATATATATTATATATATATATATATATATATATATATATATATATATATTGTAGGAGAAACCGTTGTTATACGCTATTTTTTAGTGGATACCCGTATTTGAATTGACGATCCATTTATTTTAAACAGTATGGAATTGATTCAAACTAGAGTTGCTGCACCTTGACTTGTTAAAGAGGTTTGTACAAGATACTAGGCAACAATCCAATTTGCCGCTTCACTGTATTCCGTGACATATAAGATTTACCTCCCGCATCCAAATATTTAAAGATATGTATATTTTAGTCTATATCCTTTCTAAATCTTTTTTTTTTTGTAATAATCAATGATTTCTAATCAACCAGGACGTAAATCCGTAAAGGGATTTTCTTTCTATCTGTTAATCCGTTAATCTTTCACTTTTACCATTTTATAATTTCTGACATGATTTCTGACTTTGTCTCTCCTGAATTCTTACCTTCTTTTCGGCCGTTCTCGGTATCACGATAAAGTATATCCGGCAGGAAGGGCTCTGATAGTGAGGTTTTGAGAAGTTTGAAACCACATTTTGTTTGCTGTTGTTCCCAGGTCCACCCTGACGTAGAGTGGTACCACCTGTTACGGTCCCAGCTCTAGTCAAATAATGAACCCGAGTCTGTGGTGAAAACATAAAAATATATTACAAAAATTTATCAGCAATACAATTTCATAGTGTTGAAACTTGACTAATGCATGTAATAATAATACAACACAAAATGTACTTAGAACAAAATGTATTGAAACAAGAAAATGTACACAATATTTACATATAGTCTTTTGTATATTCCTGGAGAATGTGTTGACGAGTCGCACGGGCAGAGTCTCTGGATTGAATGATTCCTCCCTCTTCCCGGTACCAACATATTTATATGGTTGGCACTATGCAAATTAGGTGGATCCTACCAGAGTATATATATATATATATATATATATATATATATACAAACATTTTCTTGGGAAGACCCTGGAGAATGTGTTACCAACCTAGATTATTTATTATGGTCGCTCTTCCCGGTACCAACCATATTTATATGGTCGCTACTCCACTATGCAAATTAGGTGGATCCTACCACAACACATAGTAAGAAAAATAAATGAAAAAAGCACCTGAAATACATTATTGGTAAAAAAAAAAATTACCAAAGTTCACAAGAAAAGAAAATATCGGCATTAAATGACCCATAGCGTGTTGATGTGCCGTTAAACAAAACCAATCAAAATTTACGGTTTTTCCCCTGCATTTTCGTTTTTCTTGTTTTATCTCCATTTTATGTTTGCTTTTCTTTTTTTTTTTTCCTTTTTTCTCATATCTTTTTTTACATTTTCTCTTTCTTTCCTTCTTTTGCCTCTATGGCTATTTTCTTCATTTCTTTCAACATTTTCTTCGTCCATTTTTCTTTTCTTTTTCTTCTTTTCCCCGTTGCTTTCAAGTTCTTCCTTTGCTTCTTCCTATTCTTTATCTCTTCGCTTGTTTATTTCCTATCTTGGTTTTCTTTTCCGTTAAAAACAAACCTGAAACATTCATTTATTTTCCGCTCACAATATGATTCATGTCAGGTTATAAGAGTTCATAGAAAATGGAGGGTTTCATTTTCTTGAAGGAATTCTTTAGATAGTTAATAAGTACATGGTCACACAGGTGGAAAATGTTTTCAAATTATATTCAACCCAAACATGAATAGGCCTAATTGATATATTCAAATGAATTTAAAATTAACAGCAGGTTAATGTGGACGAAAGATGCCGATAAATCTATAAGTGTGAAGAAAATCCGAAATTCTTCGTTATGTAGTTTCGTATAAAATTGATAAAATAACCTTTTTAAAATTTAAAAAAAAAGTTTCGCGGCAGTAGGAAGGTCGAGGAACAAAAATGAGTTTTATTAAAAGAAAGAAAGAAAGAAAGAAAGAAAGAAAGAAAGAAAGAAAAGAAAGTAAAAGAAGTAGGGAAAAGTAAAAAAACGGAAAAGAAAGAAAAGAAAGAAAGAAAGAAAGAAAGAAAGAAAGAAAGGAAGAAAAGAAAGAAAGAACTGGAAGTAAAAGGGAGTAGGGAAAAAGTAAGAAAACGCAAAGAAAGAAAGAAAGAAAGAAAGAAAGAAAGAAAGAAAGAAAGAAAGAAAGAAAAGAAAAAAGAAAGAAAGAAAGAACTGGAAGTAAAAGGGAGTAGGGAAAAGTAAGAAGACGCAAAGAAAGAAAGAAAGAAAGAACGAAAGAAAGAAAGAAAGAAAGGAAAAAAGAAAGAAAGAACTGGAAGTAAAAGGGAGTAGGGAAAAGTAAGAAGACACAAAGAAAGAAAGAAAGAAAGAAAGAAAGAAAAAAAGAAAGAAAGAATGGAATTGAATAAATGATAGAGATAAAGGAAAAAGCATGCATAAAAGATGAGAAACGTCAAGTAAAAAGAAAGAAAGAAAGAAAGAAAGAAAGAAAGAAAGAAAGAAAGAAAGAAAGACCGGATTGACGAAGGAAAGGAAAAAATAAAAGAAGAGAAAGAGAGAAAAGAAATTATTGAAAGAATGATAAAGAATAAAATAATAGTGAAAGAAAGAAAAAGCACGATTTAAAAATAAGAATGGAATAGACGAAAGAGAAAAAAGAAAAAAGAAAAAAACACGATTTAAAGATAAAAAAAACTAAAGTAAAAAGAAGGGAAAAAAGAAAAGAATAAAAACAAAGAAAGAGAAAATACATCAAAGAAAGATGAGAAAAAAGAATAAAAGTAGAGAAGAGAATAAATAATAGAGATAGAAAGAAAAAAAGCATGGCTAAAAGATGAGAAAATTAGAATAAAAAGAAAGGAAGGCGTAAGGAAAGAAAGGAGAAAAGAAGGAAGGAAAGAAGGAAGGAAAGAAAGAAAAGAATAAATAACAGAGAAAAATTGAAAACAAATCATAAAAGAAAGAAAAAAAGCTGAAGGGAATTAAAGAAATACTAGAAAAAGAAACAAAGACACTGAAAGAAAGATGAGAAAATTAAAATAAAAAGAAAGAAAGAAAGAAAGAAAAAAGAAAGAAAGAAGAAAGAAGTAAAGAAATAAAAAAATAGAAAAAAGTGTAATGAAAGAAAGACGAGAAAAGTAAAATTAAAAGAAAGAAAGCAAGATAATAGCATAAGAAGGGTGATAAAAAAAAAGAATCATATGAAAGAAAGTCGAGAAAAGTAAATTAAAAAGAAAGGAAGAAAAGAAAAAAGAAAGAAGCGAAAAAATATCAGACAAAGATTAGAAATGTAAAGTAACAAGAAAGAAAAGGTAAGAGAAAGGAATGAGTAGCAGGGAAAGAAAGAACGCATCAAATAAAGATGGGCAGAGGAGAAACGAGTGATTGAAAAAGAAAACAAACGAATAAAGGAAAGCAGTAGAGAAAGTAAAGAGAGTGAAAGGAGGAGGAAAGAATAAATAGTAGAGAAAGAGATAAAGAAAACATCAAAGCGAAATGAGAAAAGTAAGGTAAAAGAAAGGGCATAAAGAAAGAAATGGAATCAATAATAGATAAGGAAAGAAAGCATCACATGAAGATGAGAAAACGGAATAAAAACAAATAAAAACAGAAAATAAGAAAGCAAGAACGAAAGAAGAAAGGAATGGAGGAAGAACAAAATAAGAAGGAATAAATAAATGAAAAATAGCGAAAGCAGAAAATCTGTAAATAATATTAACTTGTATAATATCTGAATCATAATTATCGCGTACAAAATTTAAAATAATAAAAATGAAATATAAAAACAAAAGCAAAAGTATTCCTTGTGAAAATAAAAATGAAATTAAATATGGCGCCAAGAGAACGCGAAAATCAAATTCTACGTAGTTTAATTCTGATCTTTCAAATATCAAAAATATTGATTGTGAAATAGTACAGCATCTGTTATAAATAAACAGTTCTTCTCAGAAAAAAAAAAAAAAAGTTTTCAGTTCAAGATTTGCTGGGAGCTTTTGGGATTTCTGAGTAGTTCTCCATATTTACTACTGCATACGGCAGAAACAGGTTAAGTGTAAGAAGTCGTAGCGGGGAAACTAACCGCACAAATTCACTGAGAAATCGTGGCTATTAACTGATAAAAATAAAGAAGTTGTGGAAATCCATGATCCCATACTAACTGGCAGGATATAAAATAAACAATCAACTTTAATTAAAACAGAAGTATGACTTTTAAATAACAATGCAAATTGGGCCATCTAATCTTGTTATCAACCTGATATAATTGGAAAGAGCGATGGAAGAAAAAAGTATTCTTTTATTTAAATTTTCCCCATTATGTGCATTATTGTATACATAATATACTAACACCGTAGTTCACAGACGGAACGGAATGGCTAAAAGGAAAAGGAATAACAACATGCTTTCTTAGAGAGATTTTATACTAGTAAGGCATACACAAAACTATACATACATGTGTCCCACGCAGAGAACACTATATCAAATATCTACACAACGAGCAGAGTGTAAGGAGAAACAAAAAGGAAGGGTATTATATATAATATGGAGATTCTTCTGTTTTTCTGGAGAAGCCATGTTTAGGATTCCAGATTCAAACGGGCGGGATACATCTACTATGTCTCCGGCAAAGGGAAACGGCGTGTCTTGGGTTTTCCCAAATTGAGGACTGAGAGCCGGTATTTCTTTCTACATATGGGGAAGATAAATTCCAGAATAAAAATGGCGTGACGGGCTTATAAGCTGCAGCATTTGCAGGAGGTGGCAGATCTAGACTCAGCTCGGGCCCCTTTACACAGGGTAAAAAATTAACCGCTCTGATTGGCTACTGAAAACAAACTGAAATCAACTGCCCACTCTCGACACTGTATTATGTGACGTCACGAAGTGGCCGACACGTAACCCACGTGAGTTTTCTCCACCAAATGCAGATAATCGCCTTCTGTATCCGTGCAGTCTAAGATTGTTCTTCAAGATCATTAGGAGAACATTAGAAAAAAACGTAAGAATAAAACGTAATAATAAAAAAATAGAATATATGGAGAGCTCTGATCGCCTAGGGTACGGACGAGACATGATAATTAAGAAAGCAGTTTTGAGTCAAATAGAAGGGCTATTAAATAGGACAGAGTCTTTAAATATTTGATAGGAGAATTATAATCACGCATAGCAAACCGGGGACAAAACAACAGGAATAAAGAAACGGAATATGTGGGAATTCCTGATCGCCTACGTGCTGACGGGTCTTGACATTTATAAAAAAAGAATTAACCTTTAATTAAACAGTGTGAGCTTAAATAACAGTGTAGACTAGGCAATCTAATTTAAGAGTTTAGTACAATTCCAAATACCAAACAACCCACGTATATTTTCCAACGAAGACGGACATTAAAGATATTTTAATACTTATTTTTTAGTAATAGTTCTTATTAATTATTCAACAATTTATTCTCTTTCATCGTTTACGACCTCCTGCCAAAGATCCACTAACTGTTCAATGGCTCGACAACAGAAATTACGAGGTTTTGACTAGAAATATCTATCACGCTACGTTTTAAGCTCGACATCGTTGTTGAACGATACACCCCACAAATTGTTAGAAACCGACCATAAAAGAAGCTAAATCACATGAATATAGAGTGTGTGGTAGAATTTCCAAAATAAGCTCTTTAATTGCATTTTTGGTCATGTTAGCGATGAGATGGCCCGACTTGTCACGTTGAATAATCACACTGTATCACTGGTCAGGTCTTTTTTTAGCTGCGTCTTTAAGCCTGTTTATTTGATCATCATACAGCTTAGCACTGACTGTTTCCTTGTTCTGGACCTTATCCCCTAAGTGAAGATAATGAGCACCAGTAACATGAGAGCCTGTCATCTTCCGAACCAATTCCTTAGTCGTCTGGCACAGTTTTTTTCGTTAATCAATCGGTTCTCATCAAAATGAACAGGGTGGTCATAACGCGGTGGGTCTCTGAGTTCCGCTTTCTCCTTCGTGAAACGAGGAAATAAATGGTTTGCTATTCTATTGGTAATGGAGTTATCTTTGTACAAAATCCTGAGTATGACGATAAAAAACCCTCTGTAGTCTCCTCAGATAGAAACACAAACAGTCTGAAATATTTGTATTGGAGCTTTTGGCGTTAATACCAAGTAGTACAGCATACCTTTTTCAAATTTCTGGAGGAGTGAATTGCATCATGTTGATCTTTTTTCTCACAGATGTTGCCCAACTGACACTACTATACTGGGCAGTCGACAAAAGCGAGAACAAAGCGCATGCGCGAAATTAAAAATATAAAATGGCGACAATTTACCTATCTTGTATATGTAACAACCTAATAACAAAGAAGCGGACCTTATGAAGTGTCTGGACCGCCTAAGTGCGAAAGGGGCATGGTATTTAGGAGAAAAATTTTGCATTAAACAGCAGTCTGTGGATTATTAAGTAGGGAATACTAGGCGTTCTTATCTTCAGTAGGATGCAGTCTAAGAGAAGCATTACATCGAAGACAAAGAAACGAAATATCATATATGCCCGCGTATCATACAACATGAAAAAGACGATGGACATAAAAGCAATACCAATCCACACAGATTTAAACGAAACGCTGATCTTATAAAAGATTTCAGTTATCTATTTGGATTGGTATTGCTTTTATGTCCATCGTCTTTTTCATGTTGAATTGTATATGGCCTATGTTAATTATGTTTTATGAATATGTCCTGAAGATGGTCTATTAGACCGAAACGTCCGACGTTGACATTAAACATTAAAACAGCATAATCGCATTTTAGGATTTTTGTTTGTTTTTTCAGTATACTTTTTCTTCATACTGTCGGATCTATATCCATATATTTGCTTATTATATATATATATATATATATATATATATATATATATATATATATATATATTATGAAATGGACAATTATTTTAGAAAAATTATTATATAAAAAGAAGGTATAAACAAAAGATGTCTTAAAATAATTGTCGGACTTAGTCCATTTCATAATGTGTGACGTCATTTGCTTACATTTGAATACGCATCGAGCAGATATGAATGTACGAGAGAATTTCATGGAGAATTGTAGTTTAAAAACAGTAAAATCGACCTTGCTAACCGAAACGCTCCTCTGTGGCTCAATCGGTAAAAGCACGTCAGGCTATATGATGGTTCCATATAGGATACAGGTTCGATTACTGTCGAAGGACGCATATTTTCTATGAAAATTTCTCAGACATTCAGGCCGGTAAATGTCATTCATCCTTTTTTTTATTATTATTATAAACAGAGCATTTAGTTAATTATTTTTATCTATAAAAAGAACGTATATACATAAAAAAATGTCTTAAAATAATTGTCGGACTTTGTCCATTTCATAATGTGTGACGTCATTTGTTTACATTTGGATACGCATCGAGCAGATATGAATGTACGAGAGATAATCATGGAGAATTGTAGTTTAAAAACAGTAAAATCGACCTTGTTAACCGGAAAGCTACTCTATGTCTCATTTACTTAAATGTTTGTATCTATAAAAAAGAACGTATAAACATAAAAAATGTCTTTAATATATATATATATATATATATATATATATATATATATATATATATATATATATAAGAAATGTCATGTCTGGAGAACAATGATGCTTCTTGTCTTGAAGTGACATGGCATTGAACAAATATCCAA